CAATTGTCGCATTGCAGCTGCTCCTTTCCCAAGGACTGGAATGATGCTATCGTCTGCCCGATATTTAAAAAAGGCGACAAGCATCTCCCTGCCAATTATAGACCGGTACGTTTGACAAGCGTACTGGTCAAGGTATTGGAGAAGTTGGTCAGGGATGTGTCTGAAAACCACTTGCGGGAGTTTGGTCTGCTCAGTCCACTTCAAAACGGCTTTCGCAAGGGTCCTTCCTGTAGGACTAATTTGCTAGTTGCACGGGAATGTTGGGTGGATGCTTTGGATCGGGTCATGCAGTAGATGTAGTGTTTATTAACTTCTCCAAGGCGTTCGACACTGTATCACATTCTCGCCTCTTCGAGAAACTTCGGCCCTATGGAATACCAAAGCGTGCACTAAAATGGATCACCGCGTTTCTGGAAGGGAGAGAGATATGTGTTCCTGTGGGGTCTAGTCTGTCTTTCCGTCAGTCAGTCCCAGTGCGGTCCCTCAGGGTTCAGTGCGTGGCCCGTTGTTATTTTCTTTGTGTGTCAATGAGCTGCCCGAACTGCTGGAGGTAACATCTCTTATGTTTGCAGTTGACCTAAAGTTTTGGCACATAGTGTCTGACTTCGATGGACCTGGACTCTGCAACGGGCCCATGATAAACTTCGGGACTGGGCTGATGTGTGGCAGTTGCACATAAATTATGCAAAGTGTTCCATCTAACTAATAGGGCCAAATAGCCCCCAAACGCGTTATCTGCTTTGCAGTAATGAACTACCCCATTTGCCCAACTGGTAAACCTAGTAGTTACGTTGTCTTCAGTACTTAAATCCAGTGAGAACTGGAGGAAAGCTACGTGCAAGGGTTTCAGAAGGTTGTGGATAACCCGCAGGGCATTCGAGACCATCACAAACGCTATGTTTGTTAGGTTATTCTCAGCATTTGTCAGGCAACACTTGGAATACTGCATCCAGGCTTGTCCACCTTGCTTAGTCGGGGTAGGATGCCAGTGGAGAGAGTGTATAGAGTTGGAACCAAGGTGGTTCATGGACTACGAAACCATTCTTACCCAGAAAGACTACATGCGCTGGGAATGTTCTCAATGCATTATCGCAACCACTGAGGCGACCTAGTCTTGACCTATCGCATACTTACCGGCGAAAGTGGACCCGATTTATCTAGGCTTTTTCAACCGGCTCGGCTTCCATCGCTCCGAGGTCACTCGATGAAGCTACACAACCCTTGATCGTGAGGAGTCCGGGCGAACTTCGGTTTATCACACCGAGTGGTGGATCCCTGGAATGCACTGCCCGAGAACGTGGTATTGGCACCAACGGTGCAGGAGTTCGAACACCGACTCGACGCTCTTGGACTTCAATTCTTAACATTCCATTTCACGCCCTAGCTTATTCGTCATATTGAATTAGTAATTCTATTACGTTTTTTCTTGACCTCCTAATGACTTTAGTACTTCTATATATTATTTCACGTGACCGGTGCGGCCGGGACTGCCGATGTAGGTCGCGTGGGTATTAATTGTTTGACCGTGGTTTGTAGTGGTCGAAAAATACTGGGAAGGTTTCAACCCCTTAATAAAAAGGCAAAAAGTTGGAGAGGGTCAACTCACAGTTTAATCACAGTCGAGTTCGAGTCGTAGGTTGCGCTATACCTGTGACACACGTCGAGCACAATGGAAATAGACGTTCGATAATAATTCCGAATATACTATCCGATTTTCAAGCAGACTGGACGGCACCGTACACACGCAGAAGCAGCACAGCCAGAAATCAGCACGACGTAACGCGGGGCGCGAAGAAGTGTATATTATTCATTAATTCAAACAAACTGTACGAAAGATGTCATGATAAAATGGATGACAAGAAAGACAAAATGTGAAAGATTAATAACCACTACATAACTCCCCCCGTAGAGCGTGAACTGGTAAGGTAACGCTCGATATAGCTATTTAGGGAACAAACTCAGCTAGTTTGGAGGGGAAAGACACAGAACGTCCTGAACGTGTGTGTTTGGGATCATTCGTTGGGCGAGCGCATGAAGGTTCTGGAGCATTGGAAACGGTCGGTTGACCAACAGGGGGTAACGCCTTGGGATCCGTCAAAGTAACGGCAGGCTCAACATAAGCGGGTTTAAGACGGTCAATACTCACAGATTCTTTCGAGCCATTCCTTTCCAGTATGAAGTATTTAGGTTTCCGTGACAACACTTTGAAAGAACCTTCATAAGGGGGTGTCAATGGCTTGCGAACTGCATCAATGCGAATGAAAACGAAAGGACAAGTGTGTAAGTCCGGATGAATTCGTTGTTCGCGGGCAGTGAAGCGAGTAGACGTAGGTCTAACTGTTCGGAAGTGTTGTTTGAGACGTTCGGCGTAGGACACAGGATCTATCTCACCAGTGACTCGGGAATCCAAACTCATCTCACCTGGAAGTCTGAGAGTGGTGCCAAAGACGAGTTCGGCAGGGCTGCATCCAATATCCTCTTTGACGGTATTACGGATACCAAGAAGGACAGCTGGGATGCGTTCAGACCAATGTGGATCAGGTGAATTAGCTGTGATGGCGGCTTTAAGCTGTCGATGGAAACGCTCGACAAGGCCATTCGAAGCGGGATGATAAGCAGTTGTTCGAATGTGGGTACAACCCAAAAGGCGATTCAAGTCACGGAACAAGGTGGAAGTGAACTGAGATCCTCGATCTGTAGTGATAGTAGATGGTACACCGAAAAAGGAACTCCATGAGTCAAAAAATGCGCGGGCAACAGATTCTGAAGATATGTCACGTAAAGGAATGGCGTGCGGCCAACGAGTAAAACGATCAACACAAGTCAAAATGAAAGTGAAATTGTTCGACGGAGGAAGCGGTCCGACTATGTCTAGGTGGACATGTCTAAAACGTGCCTCAGGTAGTGAGAATGTTCCGGGGGCAGAAATAGTGTGTCTGTGTACTTTGCTGCTCTGGCAGCTGAGACAGTGTTTAGCCCATTGGCGGATATCAGAGCGCATACTAGGCCAGATGAAACGATCAGTAATCAACTTCACAGTAGATCGAATGCTAGGATGCGATAGTCCGTGAAAATGGTCAAAGACGGTTCGCCGGAAAGACTGTGGAACAAACGGTCTTGGCTTACCAGTGGAGACATCGCAGTAAATCCTTGCGTCTGGTTAGCCGCCTGTAACGTGAGTCCGGCTTGTTGCAGAGGGCGTTTTTCCAACGAACGTGGGATAACGCTGATTTCTGCGCCCGTACCGACCAAAAAATGAAGTTTAGTCGTGGAGTCGAACACGTACAGAAGGCGACTGAGGATTTGGCCAGCGACAGCCGTCGCCATGACTGGCTGGCTTTGGCGTTTCCCGGTTGCGAAATCGAAGTTTCTTTCGGATATTTGCATCCTGGGCGACAGTTACGTGCTGATTTACCGAAGCGACGGTGGAAATAACAGTACGACCGCTGACGTGAGCGTGATGTGCTGCGGCGCGGATCACGAGGACTTCTTCGGCTGGTAGTGCGTTCACGTCGAATAGCAGACATGCTAAGTTCTAGACGGGATATTCTATCGTTTATCGAATCAAGCGTAGTGCTAGGGGATGAGCTGGCTGTGGTGGACTCAGTTAGATGATTAAGAGTACTCTTAAAGAAACATTCGTGCGTTTTGTCCGCAGCTTCTGCGAGCTTCTCCAGCGTGATATCGTCGCTAAGAACTGATAATATCGCTGTGATGTTTGCCGGAAGACATTTGGTTCAAAGTTGGCGGAGTATGGAATCGTCGAGTTTCGACGAACCAACTAGGGAACGCATGTGCCTTAGAAGCTGGGATGAGGTGCGATCGCCAAGCTCGACGCCGGAAAGTAACTGTTGCGGACTAGCTTCATCAGACGCAGTTGTGCGTTTAAGGATAGCTGCTTTAAGTTTATCATACGGTGCTTCTACAGGCATAGGATCGAGGATATCAATGACTTCAGATGCAGTGGAAACAGGTAAGCGCGAGACGACGTAAGAGAACATGGAAGACTGTGAAGTGATCTTACGACATCGAAAAGTGGCTTCCACCTGAATAAACCACACACGTGGATTGGAAATGTCAAAGTTAGGAAGCGAGAGTTCGACGGAATTGTCCGTAAAACACTTGGGGCCTGGTCAGACATCACTAAGAAATATACGTGTTCCAAAAATGATAAGGCGAGGTCACCAATTTATGTGGTGGTCGAAAACACTAGGAAGATTTTAACCCCTTGGTAAAAGGCAAAAAGTTGGGAAGGGTCAACTCACAGTCTAATCACAGTCGAGTTCGAGTCGTAGGTTGCGCTATACCTGTGACACACATCGAGCACAATGGAAATAGACGTTCGATAATAATTCCGAATATACTATCCGATTTTCAAGCAGACTGGACGGCACCGTACACACGCAGAAGCAGCACAGCCAGAAATCAGCACGACGTAACGCGGGGCGCGAAGAAGTGTATATTATTCATTAATTCAAACAAACTGTACAAAAGATGTCATGATAAAATGGATGACAAGAAAGACGAAATGTGAAAGATTAATAACCACTACAGGTTTGATTCGCGCGCGCTGATCTGACTCTACTGGATTCCAGTTATCGCGGACGAATACTACTCTGACTCAACGATACGCCACGGAAGGAACATTCACGGGGATTTATCCTACTGTTCCAGTCCCAATTGAAGTTGAACTTGAGTGCCAACCGTCTAAACAATATCGATGAACATTAATAACCACTTTACAGCGTGCAGCACTCTTCATTTTGTGTTAATATTTAATGCGCATTTGTAACGCAACTCAATGCGTTAACAAAATTTTTTTAAAATAGATATGTCCATGCGAACCGGCGTGTTATTAGTCCATCCGTCTGGAAATTCCATCTAGCTTCTTAAACCATTAAAATTAAAATTTTAAACTTTTGACAAAACTTATCAAATGAAATTATTTTGTGGTCTACACGAATTCTCTTTCTTTTTGCTTTATTTATTCGGCGTTTATATGAACTCTCCACTTTCCGCCATTGCTGGATACAAAAATGAAGATCGGTGAACCACGCCCGGAACAAACCGCTACAGTAGAGGCAATTGTTCGTGAACTAAAAAATCTAGATGAAAACGCTTTCCCAGCTTTGCACGCGCTTGCCGAGAATGGTTTGTTTACCGTTTTCTTACTCCTCCAGAGCTGTTCAGACTCCGCGGTGGGATTGCTGATTCGATCGACATCGTTTCCAATCGCCAGGTCAAGATAAGGGCGAGGGTAGAAATTCCAAGTTCCCAGTATCCAAATATTAATTTCGTTGGGAAGCTCCTTGGTCCAGGTGGCCAGACACTCAGGGCGGCTCAAGAGAACACGAAGACTAAAATGGCCATATTAGGTGCGGGCTCGTTACGCGATGATTCGAAGGAGCGTGAACTGTTGTCCAGCGGTGATCCTAAGTACCAGCATCTAAAGCAGAAGCTACACCTGCAGGTTGATAGCCTCGCTCCTCCAGCGGAGGCTTATTATCGATTATCGCACGCTCTTGCAGAGCTCCGCAAAATCATGCTGCCGGTGAGTGTTTGATTAATTTTTGTGAGTCTTTCAGGAGACAAGTGAATTTCCACCACCACCTTGGGTACCACAAGGTTCGCCCTCGATGGCATCTCCAATGGGAGTTGGCCGAATGCGGGACGGAAGGTCGCCGAACCCTCGTGGGCCCTTCCACGTACCCCCACCCAGTTCACCTTTTCGGGGTCGAGGGAAGCCTTGGATTAATCGTACACCAACGTCTAACGGCAACCCGATTATGACAACACCGACGAGCGTTGCACCGGATGCTTACAACAATGGTGCCGTCCAACCTGTTTACCCCAACATGACCATGTATGAACAACAGTCGTACCCGACGACGAATGTGTACGAAGAGTTCGGCGCAACGTACGGTGAGTTTATTTGCATGCCTAAATTTCGTTATTCACCGGTAAAATCCGCTTGATTAATCAAGGTTTAAATTTTCAATCTAGGACAAGACGACTCTTGGGGAAAAGTTGGTGTAACTGATGGCCGTGGTCGTGGTCGAGCCCATCCGTACGCCCGCCCCGGAATGAAAATCGATGAAACGCAATAGTCGCGGGTATATAACCAAAAAAGACTACCAATCATCTACATCCATTGTCGAGATAATTCAGTTAACACAGCCAAACTGAAGCCAGACCTGCATTTGTGTACGCCTCTATGAATCAGTCACCTATTAATCGGATAAAATTTGCATAACATTTCCAACCGCTTCTTTGTAGTAATGTCTGGGTTGAGTCTGTTTTTGTTGCCGTTAAATACATCAATATCTAAATAATTGTTAATGCGATCTTTTCCATCACAATACCGGCCTGGTAGGTGCGTTTTCAGGTAGCTTGTTGGTCGGTGTCCATATAGTAACTGTCAACCTTGATTACTTTCCGAACTTAAGCAGCCGTAGTGACCCCGTACTCACTTGTCGCTACGTTATCTGACCTGCGCAGCCAGGTGGTTTTGCTCTACCAAGCAACTTTATAGTTTTCGCCCATGAACTTTTTCACTCGTTTCTACGTCAAGTAGGTGCAGCTCCAAGTCACTATTGCTCGTCTCTTCCGGCCTTAAACTACTACACCTATCCGAACTTTTTTCAGCTGCTTCACGTGTGATTCGCAAACGTTGAATCTTGTTGTCTTAGTGAGGCGAGGGATTTACAGAAAGCTTGATTCGTTCGCATGGTTCGTCGATGGTGTGTTATGGCTCATAAAACCCTCTCCAGACGGGTGCTAGCTTCGTTTGGTACATTTTGTGCAAGCTATCTACTCCATGCATTCTGTAGGCAAAGTGAAATCATACTTGAAGTCTTCTCTATAAATCCGTAAATTCTATGTTGCCTCCTACAAGCTTGTTGAGAGCGATTACAGTGTCTTATATGATGGATAATAAACAGGCATGAGGTGTTTCGGGTTGACAGATTAATATCGGCCAAACATTTTGGTCGTCATTACACGCCGGGTAAATGTGAGGAACATATCCATTTTGCCGTAATACGAAAAGTTATATTTGACAAATGCTAAGTGCCTAACATTACATAAGACAAAAATAAGCAATGATAATACCATATGATGCATGAGGTGCGAGAACGTGATTGGATAATGTTGCTAAGTTGAATCGGGAGTGAGAGAAACGAAACATACTATTGAGGTTTGCTCCTTGCCGTGTCGACGAGTGTATCCACGCAAACGTGTTCATCGTCCTTCGGATCCAAGTCTGGCAATCGAGTCGCGTACCGACGCCATTCTTCATTCCTCTTGACTTCCCTTCATTTTCCATCCAGACCACTGTCACGCAAACGCCGCGGGAGTTGGTGTGCTGACATGCGCAACACGTGGCCCAACCACCAGAGCCTGCTGCGCTGTGCCGTTCAGTCGCTTTTCCTGCACCAAATACATGGTGTCGATCGCACCCATTGCTCACACGGTGTTCCCACCAGACATGGGCCAAACTGTAAAGACAGCAATTGTCGGATGTAACTAACCTCTACATCTGATGTGCCAGATTTCGCAACCGTACAAGTGGGTTGAACGCGTGGTAAACTCTGTCCTTCAGAGCGAGGGTGATGTCGCGCCGGCGCTACAGGTTGCGGAGATTGGCAAAAGCACCTCAAAATTTAGTTATTCGGTTGGTTATTTCACAGGTGCTGATGTAGCTGCCTAAGTACTTGCATTTTTGGATGACTTTTAACTGATCACAACTATCGGTTAATGCTGGGGTGGGTCCCTACCAACTTTGGTTGATAACTTTGCATTTCGAGAGGGCAAAACATGGCTCAAAACGATTGGCAACTAGTGCTAAATTGTCCATTACTGCTTGGCACTTGGGAAGCTGCCACAGATTAGTTCAAAATCGTCGGCAAACTCCAAGTTAAAAAGCCGCTCACCTGGGTGCAGCTGCACACCTAAATTGTGTTTAGTGTACGCCGTCTACCTGACGTCGTCGAAGTGGGAGATACGAACTTAAGGTGATAGCAACCACTTTTCACACCGTAGGAGATATTGAAGAGCCATGACAGTTTGCCAAAAGCCCCCACTCTGCTATGCAGCGCTCTTAGGACATTTACGTATCGGGCACACTTTTCCTGAGCAGACAGTCTCAAAAGACATCTATCGAATCAAGGAACATGGCTATGGTGGGTCGCCAGTAAAAGTTGCGGTGATCATCAGTTGACGCTAAATGATGACGTGCTCATTACGGCGTCGATTTCGACAAGAGCCTGCTTGCTCCTCGCGAATCTGGCTCGCAGTGGCCAGTCGGTCCATGGACGACTACAGAGGCAATTAAAATCAGGCCGATCTCTATGATGGCCGCATTCCAGGCGTGACCACATGAGCTTGTTTCGGAAGCTAGATACAACTATAAAAAGCATGGTGTGGAGCTTATTGTTGGCTACCGATCAGACATTTAAGGACAATGTAAGATATCACTGTAGATTGGAAAGCTTATCTGATTTCAGCATTGCAAGCGAATGGATAGTGGGTTCAAGCATCTGGCTTGTAGTCCATCTGTGTAGCAGCGGGCGACCTGAGAATTGCGCTAGCCGTTTGGGAGCAGCGAAAGTTCGCTAAAACGCCGACGTACCGCTGATGTCTTCTGTATGTAACGTTAAGTTGTTTAACGACCTACTGTACTACTATGTTTTGAAGTGTTCCATTGATCAGCAGCATCGCTCCTCTAGCCTTGTCACGCTACAGCACTAGCTTTGTACTGCATTCAGCATCAATGTCGTGTTCTACCCGTAAGGCTTGTGCGCCTCACATTTCCGGTCGTGTCTAGTCATTGCCCAGCATTTGCGATGCAGTCGCTCTCTAAACAGACATGCACTGATCGCTACTCGGATGACTCCCAATGAAGGACCACGTTGCTGTGATTCAAACCTTAAGGCCAGTCCATCTTAATATACGTCAAGAATTTTAGCTAACTCGGGTGGGTTCTTTGCTTTTGTCAAACCTCGATGCCATTTCGACCTTTTCGTTGTAATTCCGTTTGGGCTTGATGGCGCCGCAGCATTAGCTTTTCAGGGCAAGGTCGTTTGTTATTATCTTTCTCTTTATCCAAGGTAAAGGTTTCAGTAGGTTCTCCTGTCGGATCTACCTATATCGAAGGCTCAGGTTCTCATGCACCTGCGTGCATTGAATTCCGGCAGAGCTGCTGGGATAAACGTCATCCATCCTAAGCTTCTGTACGCGCTGAACCGCTCACGCGCCTTTTTACCAAACTTACTCATTGTTGCTGTACCTGCCAACCAGAGAAACATTTTCGTATATTGTTCTTCTCCAGAACTACATGCCAGTTGGATTAACAAGCGTACTAGTAAAATTATCGAAAAAGTCGGTAAGAGATGCTCTTTAAAAGTGCTTGCTCAACTCGTCTCGACATGACTTTCGCAGAGGTTATTTTCGACCAACTGATATGTTAGTGGCCTTATAATGCTAGGCGAACGGTTTGTTCATTAACGCCGTCCCACACTGTTACCTTCTGATAAACTGCTGTCATGTCCTAGGATGTACCTCGGCGTACTCAATGTGATTGGGCATGTGCGTTCGTATGGTCCCTTGGCTTTTTTTCTGACAGACTGCTTTCATTGTTGTTCCGCTATGGTCAGTTCGCATTGTACGTTCAAGACCTCAGTGATTACCCTCTCGTCCTAGATAGACACAACCGTCCCATTTGGTCTCATATTCGATCATTCGAAGAGGGAAAAGAAACAGGAACTTTCGCAATGTGACATTAAATATTAAAATGTGTCCTTAGTGCTACTGGTCTGTAACTATAAGTTGTTACTATGTAGTAAGATCGCACTCCCAGTCAGCGTGAGTAACCGATAGGCTGTTATAAACTGACCGTCTTCTGCGCCCCTGACTGTCCAGATGAAACGCATTTAGGACAAATTTCGTTCATTCATAAACATGGCGCCTTCAGTACTGCGTTTTGAGGACTTGTGAGTCAATCTCCATTAAGTGTTTGTGATATTTACGGCCAGGAAGTGCAATCATAGCATGTCCTGAGGCTGCACTGGGAAATACTTTTCTGAGTGACCGAAATGCGTTCCGAAGGTGCCTCACAGGGATGACCAGAAGCACAGAAACCGCACTTGTATTATCTGGGTAGCTCCAGTTGCGACATTTTTATTTGCAAATGATCTAAAATTTTAGGGCACTGTTTGATTCTTATTATCTGTTGATTTTAACGACGGCTGTTGATAAGCTCTGGGGTCGTAAGTTCCGTGGCGTTAGTCTATACATCCTTCCGAGTTTTCGGTTCTAGGCAAAGAACAATGTCTACCTTCGATGCGTTACTTGTGTATTTCATACCACAAGTAACCCGCCGAGTCGACTTGGAAAATTCAGTCTCGTCAGACTTCGAGTCCAGCGGGCACTAAAGGACTGCTGTGGATGATCCACAGGTTGTGATAATAATGAAGGGAATTTTTACTGTTGTTTTCAGCCCTTGTTAGACCATACTTGAAATACCGCATGCAGGCCTGCTCCCCTTGTTTGGCTCGCGACAGGGTTACTTTTGATCAGATCTTAAAGAACTACTACTAAAATGGTGCATGAGTTGAGGCATCTTTTTTTTACCCCGATCGGCTGCTCAGATTGTAGTTTTGGTACGCTATACCCACGTTTGGGGCGACTTGCATTTTACTGGTCAGATTGGTCCTGGTCTACCTTGCTCTGGTGCCAACTCTTCGGAGACGCCATATAATTTACATAAGCCCCCGTCTGGTCGGGATAAAGCTGACTTTAGTTTGTTATGCGGCGTTGTCTCTTCTCGGAATGCGTCAGTGGTGGAATTTGAACTTGTATTCGATGCCCTTGAAGTGCATTTTTTTAGATCTTCCCTTTGTATCCTAATTCTAACTTCTTTTCTAGACTATACCTTTTCCTTACCGTTATACCTCTGCAATTGCATCAGAGGTCTGAGTATCCCGCATGAATTTTTCGTTATTTTTCCTGTCGTATTTTCTAATCGCGTGACCGGTACGACGGGGATTGTTAACGTAGGCCCTACATGGGCATTAGTTTTCTAACGCAATGCTAGTTGGGCGTGTTTGTCCAGCCCTTATCGGCTTCAACTTGATTCGACGAACTCTCCTGATTCAACAACGCGCTCAAAGTCAACCCGCGGGTGTATTTTACTGTTCGGATCACATTTGAACTTGTGTTAAACATCATGCGCTCCAATGTTTTTCCTATAATTCGGCAGTTGTTGCTGACCACAGCTCGGAAACCAGGCAAATCGTAGGGCTCCATGTCGAGCCTTGTCTCAGTGGCCCATTGTTCCTGCACAGACGTAATGTT